TTTTTACTATGACATGAAACATTTTCAGTCATTTTTATGGCTATGTAGATAAGACAGAATCTTTAGTGTTTCAAAAACACAATCAATGTTTATTTGTTCTCATAAGTTATTCATGGACCCAACAATATTCAACAAAACTTCATTTTTAACAGATCTCTTAATGAGCATCATTTTTACAGAAAATCACCAACAAATAAATATATGAAAACAATTGCTTTTGACATCACAATGGTTAAACACATTAAATAATTCATTAAATTGTGCTTTATGTCAATGAAAATCCCTAGGTCTACAAACTATCTTTTAAATAGGAATGGAAGTATATATGATTACTCACAATACAATCTCTCAGTAGCAGAATTCACAAACATTATTGCACATAAACAGAAGGAAAATTCCTAAAGAATAAAGTAATTTACAACCTATTAATTTATTCTTTCATCTTAAATATGGCAACTGATGGGAATTCTTTTTTTTTTTTTCTTCTCTTCCAACATTTATTTGAAATCACAGAACAAGTGATACAGCCAAGAGGAAAGCCAAGGACATTGCAGGAATGGAACCCATTTCCCTCCATAAAATGTAGACAAAGAAAATATTACAGGAACCAAACTGAAAGAAGTGTTACAGTGAAAATTTGGTACCTTTTTTGAGCGTGCTTTTTCTTTTTTTTCCCACACATACAGAGGATACAGCCATCAACTCCAGCTGAATGACTTTATTGTGATCATTCATCTTGTACATAGTATTCCCACCAGTCTGGAAACCACCTAATCCTTATCCCAGACCCAAAAAAAAGAATAATTCCATGTGTATCAGGGAAACAGCAACAGGGAGAAGAAAAAGTGAGATATGTTTTAAAACAGCAGTGCTCATAACTGATACAAGAATGCAGATGGGAAACAAGATCCCTTCCTAGGGCAGAAGGAAGCATGTGGGGGAAGAAGATCAACTTAAAAAACCTCCTGACTTAGTCATGGATGTTAAATCTGAAACATCTCCAGACACAAAGGTGATGTGACCTGCCTTTGGTCGAATGGGTATGATACAGATATGAAGTGTGGCTCTGGATCTGACTTCCATCGCTTTTTTTCTGCATTTCTGTTTTTACTGAACAGCAAGTTACTGCTGTATACTGGGAAGAATCCCTAGCAAGGCTTTGACAGCCTCACTATTAACACATCAGCAGTGGAAAATACCCAACATCAGAAACAGTGGGTTTTTTTTTCTCTTGATGGTGAAAAAGGTTTTTACTGTCAGCACTGGTGAGTGGGAAAGAGAAGACAAATTTTTATTCCTTAATAAGGCCATAAGGCCTTACAGCGAGTGCTTGGACTAGACATCAAATTATCAGGACCAAGTTCTAATGACACAGCATGTTTCTTTGTCCATTCCAAGCCCACAGTGAATTATAACTGGAAAAGGCAGTGCTGGGAGTGTGATGGGAGAGATTAGCAAGTACATCTCCATTACAGAAGAATGAGATTTGTTTCAGCACCACAGTAGCAGAAGCCAAATTGCCTTGCTTAAGCAAAAAAAGAATGCCAGGAAGATGGACAGAAATCCTATAGCATTGTTGCTCACAAAGCTTTAGAAAGAAACATGCTGCTCCCTGATCTTATATGGGCCAGTGTAATTATGGTGAAGTTTATGCTGTCAGAGCAATGAAAACCTGGAATAACAGAGATATGAAGCAGTTCCTTTATTTTGCTTTTGCATTACATTATTTCAGGCACCGTGCCCAAGAGGAAAAAAGCTGCAGGCCTGTGTCTTAGAAGCCAGCCTGAAGGTGTTTCCAAACTGCTTTATTTGTCATGTGTAAGGAAACTCTGCTAAGAAAAACAGGACTGTTGGTGCAGTGAGTTTGCTGGATCTGCAGCTGGAGCTAGGGAAGGAGGCACCAGGTCCTTCAGGCCAGGGCTCTGGGCAAGGTCTTAGCTCCTGACTGCCCACCCCTCCCAAAAAAACCCCAAAACTTTTGTTGAAACAACGAACCTACTCCTCCACAACCAGGGCTGTTACACAGACTCCAGAGGGAAAAAAATCCAACAAACCATCTTCAATTTTAACTAAATCCCAAGCGTTAAGGCAAATCCCATTAACATAGATGCCACAGCACATTAACAGCTCTTCAGGACTCTAATCTTGACTCCTGGGAAATGACTGATGAAAAAGGTTAGGCATCACATTAAGATGTTGCCAAACTATTCAAGCTAATGTAAACCACCTAGAAAACGTCTTCGATTTTCCTCATTAGGCTTTGTTTTGTGTCAGGCAGAAGGAACAGTCTGGAGAACAGTTGGTGTGCTTAGACAGCTGAAACTGATACTTACAGTCACTGGTGAGGCTCCAGGGAAGTATTTCTGAGCACTGTCTCCTCTCCCTTGAAAAGAAAAACCACTGCATTTTCTAAATGAAAAATAGGGTCCCAGTTGCTGTGAGCAGCATGGAGACGGGGCCTGCTGAGCACAGAGGTATGTGAGGAAGGGACAACTTTTTTTTGCATTTAGGAAGAAAAGAAAAGGATGCCCTACAGAACAAAAGACGAGTTGGAATTCATCTTACTTCCTTGCTTATCTTGCTCCTCAATGTGAATTTGTCCTTGCATCTTTCCTTCCACATGGCTGGCTTCTCCCCTGCCCTTCAGGGTCTCCCCAGCACCCCAAACTACCTGTGCTCATGGGAACAAGAAGTGCACCAGCAAATCCTGGAGACTGAGCATCAGGTGCCAAAAGCATCCTTTCCCTCTCATGCTGTTTGGTCTCCAGCAAGATGTGGCAATGGGCACAGGAATGGGGAGATGCAACAGTTCCCATCATCCCTGTGCCACCGACCAGAAAGCTCCTTCCCTCCACAGGGCCAGGGCCAGCCCAGCCTACAGCCCTGGTGCCATCAGCTGTCAGATCACTGTGGATTACCTGCACTGTGCTAAAGGTGCAGTAGTGCCAGTGAGTCTTAGTTCTTCATGGCCCCACTGTCCTGCAGCCAGGACAACCAGACCTCAACTGTAAAGATTTCAACTTAAGTCTTGGAAGGTTGGTGTCCATACGTGAGCGAGGTGTCAGAGCCCTCTTCCAGGCAAGGGGGATCCAAGCAGCACCATCCAGGAACCCAGGGAGCTCCTCACTCTTCCCTAAGCAGACATCCCATGCTCAGGCAGGAGAACAACAATCTTCCTTTTCCCTTCTGAATGCAGAGGAGGGAGAAATGTGCATGAACCATGAGTGGAAGAGGTATTAGGGACCAAACCCCACTGCTACTCACCCCAAGGTAACACATTGACAATCCGACGTAAAGCAGCAGATTGTTAATGAACTACATTGATAATGAGGCATCATCCTGGTAGCCCTCTTCACTTCTTAATGCTATTATGATATTTCAATGTTCAATTTATTATTGTATGCATTAACTTTCAACAGGATCATTAGACTCTATTTTTGATATTCTGCATAGATAAGTAGCAATAGCATTGTCAGAAGAAAAGATACAGCATGCACAAAAAGAAAAAAATCCAACTTGGAAATGAAGGGGCAAATTTTCAAATAGAGCCTCTTTTTTCTGTAACCAACTGGATAAAAACCTTGAATTTTGAAAACAAGCGAGAAATGTGCATCCACATCAGGTACTCCAGTACTTCTAATTAGCAAATCTATAAGGTAAAAGCCATTCATGCATGCAATAATATACTTTCAGCATCTTGATTTAGCAGCCATGTTGAGGCACTTAGAGAAATTTCCTCCTAATGCTTTACATTTATGCCAGAAGAAGAAGGAAAAAAACTCTCAGATCTATGGTGCACAGGACCCTCTTTTAAAAATTTCACTATTACGAATGGAACAACATAAAATCTTGGAATAAACAGATGCAGTTTAGCCACAAGAATGGAACACATGGAGGAAGAACCCATTGAATCATTTTCTAGACAAGGAAGAAAAACAGATACAGATCTCTCATCGTGAAAACAATAAATTTACAAAGAATCCTCATATAGAGTAATAAATATCAAGACTTTCCACATATCCATTATGTATCCTATAAAAATGAAAGCTGATTTTTTTTTCTAGCCACTACAGTAGTTAGAGAGAAAACCAATTTAAGCTGTATGCACTCAGCATCAATGTATTTTAACAGACAATATAATAAACCTGCCTACCTTCACAGACAATGTATCTCCAGGCTTTTACAGCAAATCTGGAAAATGTCGCACTAATATTTAAGCTTTTCCTTCTCTCTCTTTCCTCTTCCCTGGAGTTTTCTTGACCCCTTTTGTGAATGTGAAGGCAGATTTCATTGCCCCCAGCCAGATAATCTCTGTGATGTGTCCTCAGCTGCCACGTGGACCTCATTTCTCAAAGCTTGCCTTTGCCACACACACTTAGAAAGATGGTTCCTACCTGGCTGGGCTCGGTATTCTCAGCACCTGCAGGGAAATAAGCCAATCCCTCTACTACCTCAACTATAATCAATCTCTCACTGCTGGCCTTTGGAACAGAGCTAGAAGTGCCCCAATCCAACACTTCCTATGTCTTTTTTAATCACCTCATCAAATTCTTCCCTTAATCAAAACACAGCATGTAGAAGTTTGAAGGGCAATGTGTGCATCTTATCAATTTCATTCACTAGAAAGTTATGCACTACAGTTGTAATGAACAGTACGAAACAAACCAGCTCTCATGTCACAAAAAAACCAAGCCAGGTATTTTTCCCCAATTTATCATTCATGTCTGCACAAGTCTTAGTAGCTCAGATTGTACAGGGTACATCTGTTAATGCAAAGGATCTCTCTCTCTCTTCAACCCATCCTCATAGCTTAGGCCTTTGAAGGAAGTCTTTTCTGGCAGGAATCTTATTCTACTGCCATTTAATAACACTGACCAATACCTATTGAGAACAAAATACATTCTCACTGGCAGAAACCAAGAAAAACTGAGACAAGGAGGGGGAGTTGTCAGACGAGGTCTCATTTACCAAAGCAATAAGTCTCCCTTGGCTAATTCCCAGGTAGCCACGTTGCACAAACACTCTGATCCTCTCATTGGTTAGGCAAGATGGGGGAGCATCACCACCTCGCAACCTGACTGTTATAATCTTCAGTAACAGCTACTTCTGCTGCCTCTTCCCTTGGCCACTGGTGAGCTCTCTGCTCCCGCAGCAGTCGCCGCTCCTCTCGCCTCTTTAGCCGGTTCTTCTGGTGCTCCTCTTGCTTGGAGTACTGGAAGCGCTGCAGGAACAGGTCCTTAGCGTATTCATACAGCTGCACGTCCAAGAAATTCAGCTCCTCTATCCGCCGCCGCACGTCCTCGCCGATGTCCACGTTCGAGGCCCGCGTGACGTTGAACTGGGTGAAGGGGGAAATGAATTTTAGGTTGAATGTCCTCTCAAAGAGATACTGTGTTTTCCTCTGAAATTCCGTCAGCCCGAAGAAGGCCATGTTTTTCAGATTGTTCTTGGCGCTTTGGAGAAGAATCATGTTTCTCTCACTCTCATTCATGAAAGTCAGGTTGTAGCACCCCACCAGGCTGAGGTCGGCCAGCATGCGCACCTGGCGGTTGCTGGCCAGGTTGTAGCTGCAATCCATGAATTCCTGTAAGCTGACTCCAGACCAGTCGTCTCCCTCGTAACAGGTAGGCAGCTCGTCTGGCGTTGGGCTTCTTCCATCGCACATATGGAGGGAAGTTTTCCACGTCGCACCCCTCTGGACGTGTTTCCATTCACTCAAGTACCGCGACACTGGATCCCTCAGCATGGTGATGTAATAGAAATTCCTGAAACATATAATTAAACACAGTTTTAAGATTTCAGTAGGTTTTCCTCTTCATTCTCCAATAAAACTATTACCCAACACTGGCACCACACCCTTCACTTTTTCCAGGGCAATATTGCACTTCAGGTGACTATTTCTGAGACAGTAAAATCTTCATAAATACTGTGAATAAAATACAAGGTAAATTGAGAGAGAGAGACAGATATGAAAGGAAATAAGCAGTTATCAGAGAAACAGAATTACTTTGACCTATCAAGTGCTCAGTGATAGTTACTTTACATATCAACCAACTAACTGAATTGTGCTCCCCTCCATATTGAAGTATTAACCACCAGCAATATCAGAAACTGTGTGAAAAGTGATAGTAATAATCCTGCCCCTTCTCTTCTGGACTGAGACACGCACGTCTCACAAGATGCAGGGGTTGATAATCCCTACAGCACTCGGGCATAACCTAAGAAAAGCTTAAGCAATTTCATGTGGACAGTGTAAGTGATAAAAATAACACCATGTGGAAGAATGGCATGAGCCACCTACTTAAGAAAAACCCTATTATTAAGTGGGTTGGACTTGAGATAATAGGAGACCAAAAATCCATTAATATGACTTAATTTTAGACAAGTGCTTGATTGAAATTAGTTATAATCCTGTAGTACAAAAGCATTTGTTGGTGTAAGGATTATTATTATTCAATCTCACCTGTCAAGAATACAAAAGAGACACCAAGATATATTGATCTGAAATAGAAAAAATAACTACAGAGCTCACATTGTCAGTTCATCTTTTTGCTATTAAATTCAGTTTGTATGTCTTATTTATGGCAATCTGAAAGGGACTGCAATTAAATATGTATCAAGGAAACTTTAACAGATTGAGGTTTTTTTAACTGAGGGATGTTTTACTCAATAATAACTCACCTGAGTTATAAGATGATATCATAAACACAAAGCAAAACTGAAATACTTGTGATTTCTCTCAGCTAGAATTACCAGAAGAAGATTCATGACTAAAATTAACACATGATCTGGTACAAAAATAGGCTCATGAGTTTGCATGACTCATCTTACTGCAAACTGCACATTAATAAATCATGAGCCCTAAGATTTCTTAAGCAAAGTCTGGTCTCAGTACTTTTTATGCAGCCTCGAGAAGGATGAGGAGAGTAAGCAGGAAGCAGAGAAGGATGAAGGAAGTAAGCAGGAAGCAAGCTTGCTGAAGACAAGGTACCTGTAAACAAACCAACGTTTTGGAAGTGTCATCTCATACAAGAGCTAACTCTAGTAAAATAAAAAAATCTCAAAAATTTTAGCACCCTCCACAACAATTACTTTGCTTTTTTAGGTATCACCCACTTCTTGCCACTAAAGATTTACCATCTCCATGAACCTTACATTAACCATAAAAATATTTATTTCCCTACATAGTGCTAAATATGCAGATCTGTTTCCCAGTGCAGGCAAAGCAAAGGGAAAAAGGTCTGAATACTTCATTTGTATTCATTCTGAATTTTCCACCTACAGGACCTATAATATACTTTCCAGAATAAGGTTATGAGACCAAACTATGGACTATGTTCTGCTGCAGGGTAATTTCCTGAGCTACTCTCTAATGGAAACAGCTGTTTCAACACTTATTTCACAGAAGAAGCTTTACAGGTGGAAGGATTTAAAATAGGGAGTGTCATGGATGTATTTTCACTATCACTTGCACTGGAAGCCAAGATTTCTGTCAGCATCAGATGACACTTTGAAGGATGATATTTCCAGAATCATTTGGAGCTTGGGTCTTCTGACTGCTGCTCACACATAGCCAAATTGCACATCAGCTGTTTTGGTCCCCTTCAGTTACTTACACCCTCCACATCAACAGGGAACCCAAGAATCACACAACCCTTCATAGACAGGGATTTCTAAAATCCCTCTTCTCCTGCAGAGCAGGAAGTACCAGAAATCCTCCTGTGTACTCTGCAGTATGAAAAAGCAGTCTTTGGACACTTGAGGCACAGCTTTCCCTTCTCAGATTGGATCCTTATCTCATCCTGGCTCTACACTGCATGTATGAGAGCACATTAAGAACTACTTTCCATTTCACAGGGAAAAGGGGATGCATTTCACAAATGCTGTGCAGATAAAGCAGCCCAACTCTCAAACACCCATCAGCTCTGAGCAGAAGAAGCTGCTGTTGCAACATCCAGCAGGCACTGATAGGGCTGTGACCAAAAACAGCTGAAACTCCAAGGGAACAGAGATAAAAAAAAATGGACAAAGACTCAGAGGCAGTTGCAAACATCTACATCAACAAAGATGGGGCATTGGCTTAGTCTTTGTATTGCTGCCCCTCCTCTCTTCAGATAATTTTGGATGTTAACAAGCGGTAACAGATTTTAAACTTGCTCTTGACAGTTATTCATACCTCTAATAATAATTCTGTCCTTCCTCACCCATCTCCAGCAGTCCCAGTCAGGTATGACTCAGAGCAACAACAATTAGCAAAAATACCTCCTTTGCATCAATCATTTCCCTTTCATCCCTGGATATGTAAATGTGTTTGATGTGCAATAAACAGGAGTACAAAGCAAATGCATGGAAATGAGAGCAGTACATCTTTGGTTAACATCCGCACCTTCCCTTCTGCATACCAAGCCTGCTGCTGCTCCTCCTTGTGAGTACCTAACTTCTGCAGCTGTTTTCACTGCCCAGATAAATCTGCTGCTGGATTCTGCAGCTTCCAGAGAGTTGCCTTCCACTGAATGGCTTCTTCATCGGGCATACAAATTTTAACAGCAGCTTGACACACATTTAGTTTCTGAGGGGCTGGTAACTTACGCCGCGTTCACAGTTTACAATCCTCTGATTAACCTTCTGGCTTCGACCCTCTGTCACCCTTTTAATCACTCTGAGGTTGGAAGACCTTAAGATTTCTTCCACCTTAGCCTGGACACTGTCCAGATGACACTGCTATGTGCTGCCCCTGGACTGGGGGAATGCTACACTGAACTTGTGCACAAAGTTTTCTTTCAGGGAAAAGCGTGTCTCCAGAATAATGATACAAGTAAACACACTAAGGCCCTGGACATTTGTTTCAGTGGGAAAATTATATAACTTATTAAATTATCTTAGGAAATTGTTTTCATTTTGTTTTCAAATGTTGACATTTATGGAATAATAATAGAAGCATTTTGGAGCCCTCAGTGCCTCATATACAAGCATTCAATCACACTGGGAATAGCCAAGGAGTCAGCTCATAATAAAGACAAGAAGCAGGTTAAAAATACAAAACAGGCTATGGCCTTTCTTCACTGTTCAGTAAAATAGCATATAGTTAGCTGAACACTGAATATGCCTGAGCCACTCTGAATACAGGTGTGTACTTGTTCTTGCTGGTGTAAATGACCCTCTTGCATCACCCATGCTCACACTTATGGCTGTGTTGAACTCAATGGCTACCCACTGTGGGAAATACTGAGCAAAGAATTAAGTAATGACTTCTGTTACCCTGCTTGTCAAAGCAAACTTATCACAGACTTCTTGGATTAATTTTATAGACTCCCATCATCAATTGCTGAAACTACTACCACAGATATCCTCAGTGCTTAAAGGCTAGCCAAGAAGAATATGCTGGTATGTCAGGGAGAAGATATTTTCCAGAAAATATTCCAAATTAATTAAAACCCATACAAACTATATCTACATAATTATGTAATCAATATCTATATCAGCATGTCCGTGTGTGTGTGTAAAAATTTACACTGCAATCTGGCCATAATGTACGTTTGTCAATGACAGAAAAATGATAGTAAATCCATAAGGGTGTGTTTGCCAATGTATCTTATGACTGCCTCTATAAACACATACACATACCCATACCAGTCTAGATTTCATTTCAAACACCAGCCCATTACCAGCCCAGTTACAGTGTCAGCTCCTCCTGAAAGGAAACTTCATGCAGATTCCCCACATTAAGCAATCTCCTTTTGAGCATGATGTACTGAAACTAATGGGTTATTGAAGTTGTCACTATGGGATAGTTGATTTTTTGGGCAAGTGATGGTCACAGCAAGGGCCTGATGATCCATGCTCAAACAAACACAAGTGTGAAGTGTGGGCTGCACACTATTGTTTACACTGGAATTATGAAGTACTTGGTAATTCCCAAGACTCTAGTCCTACTTGCATGAAATCCAATCTCTTCATTAGCATTAGGCAAAGAAAACCTTTAATTAAAAGAACAGATAAATTGAGCTTCTAGTTATAACCAAAGAACATGTATTTCTTCCACATTATATGGTATTTTAATATAAATACTCTAATCTTACATTAATCCTTCAATAGTATTGCTCCAGTTTAGAAATTCATTTCAGAGGAGCAGAGTCTGCTATAAGCAGAGGTGATCCCAAACCAGAGCATTTTGCCTCCTCTATCACCATGGAGCAGATGTCCCAGCTGAGGGAGATTTAGTAAATACGTGAAGGATCACTGCACACCGAGAACAGAAACATCCTGTAGGGCCTCCTGGGGAAGAGGGATGAATGGCATCTTCATAAAAGGAGAACAGCGTGCTCATGGCAGTGGATGCAGAGACAGAAGAGTATTTGAGGTGGAGAGAAAGAGTCACCAGAGAATATTCTGGAAAGCACTAGCAGACAGAAAAAAGAAAAACCCAAGTGACTGAAAAAATCCAGGTGCATCATAAAACTATCCACATTCTGCTTCTTCCTGGTAGAAAGGAAAATAAGAGCCCTGGTCAAGCTTATGTCCCAAGTGGAGATAAGAACTTAGAAGCTTTAATTGTGGAAGTGAGTGTGCTCCTGAGGAAAGGTCTGAAATACCCCCAAAAGCCATTCTGTCAGCACACTTCTGCTACCAATGGAGGTTATGGCAAATGAAGGCTTAAGAACGACCAGCATTATGTGAACAAAAGCCTCACACTTCCCAGTTTTATCCTTAAGCCCAAATTCTCACAGGCATTAACAGTTTTAGCCCACAATCAGTAACCTCTCTT